GCACATGGAATGCACACCTAAATACGTAAATACGAAAATCGTCAGGTTCGTACCCAATAACCAACTGTAACGTCATATAGGTTGGGTGAATGAGCCTTAAAGTGGACTAACATAACTGCGTACAAGGATTGCATAGCCCTAGGCAGAAACCGAAAACTTGGTATGTTTACCAAAATTCAGGCGATCATTTAAATTGCGCTTTATGATCACTATGTGAGGCTATTTGGGGTGAATCATGGGAATTCGATGTTCAATTATAAAACCAAAATGACATGCAATACTTTATCAAAAATCGTCGATATAAACTCTCCGGCATTATCTAGTGTCCCGGACCTTAAGGGATAAGTAGAGTGGTGAACCCTTAATCGGCCATGAGGTTTAGCAGTAATGTTTGTGGACAAACATGTAACCAGTTTGTCGATTCATCAACCAAAACTAGAAGTATTTATATAGTCCACATTTTGGTTGGATTAGTCCACATATATTCCCTTGAATCCATTGTGAAAAATGAGTTGTTTTGTATCTTTGCTAGGGATGATTTAGAAATTAAATTTCCCAAAACGAGCGGGTTTTAGCAAAGTGGGCTTGTAGGCATAAAATCCTTACTTCGGGTAAGGAGATGCTTTGTAGCATCATTGTTCGACCTAAGTATCCTAAAAAGTCATGCCCAAACAAGTAAATTGCTCAATCCCCCAGCTCTAGGCCAGCCACATGTGGTGTGTTCCCAGTTGGGAGACAACCCATTGGCACCAAATCAAAACTTCAGGCTCATTTTTGGAGGTGGTGCAAAGATATTCCACTCTATTTTCTTCAATGGTTCATTTATGATCATTGGCATCTCGAATATCCTTAAAAACTCAATGTCAGAGAGAATTTAAGGTCCCTTAAATGGTGATTCAGTACCATTCATACAACGAGGAGCGTGCCAATGCTCTTAATTAGGTTGGATAGACCTGAAGTCATTGTTAGAGATGTGATTTAGGTGTAAAGTTAGTGTGAGTAGTACGCATTCATCCAAACAACTAACTTTCCCACTTTCCTACCTAATCACATGTTTAATTGAATTGGGTCACATGTATTCAGAAACATGATTCAATTAACTCATGTTCGAGGACAATATCAATAAGATTATCCATAAGTAAAACATACACCAAATTTGAATCCAAGAACATAGAAAAATGTTCACAAAGTAAATGGTTTACTAAGGGGATTCGGCCAACAAGGCTATCCATGTCAAAATTCTGTTCTTCCAACGGTGTTCGGTGGAGCAAAATTAGTCTTACATATTAACTACTAGAATGGTACTCATTAACAACATTGGTAGGGGCACGAACATGTGCATAACCAATGGTCAAGTCCATCGAGACGGAAATAAATTCTGCAGGGTTAAGGTTCGGGAATATTTTCCTTTATTCTTGAAGTTTTAGGTCTTAGGTACCAAAGATCATGCTTCGGGCATGATGCCACACCTTGGCAGGCCCTAATTCTACCATATGTTGTAAAAACAAACTCAAAATTGGATTGTGAGAGAATATGTCATTCGATGTATCCCTACTGAAAATGTATCACTATTCGATAGACTCCAGCCAAACTGGGTCCATACCTTTCTCTCACATTTGTGGTAGTATCAGATCCGAGAATTTGGTAACTTTCGCTTTCCACACTATTGCTTCAGGGGCGAGTTAGAAACATAGAAGGACGAGAAAAGTTTTCTCTAGTCAAAAATTCGATCGAATTTATAAACTTCAAAATTGTACTCATTCATGGACGTAATCATGGTTTGCTTCAGGTAAAGTTTTTCATGATTAGACAGTCCGTAGGAGCGAGCCAAATAACCATGGAATCCTCGGTCGGGAGGTATTTCCATTTGTAATGCTTTAAGCATAAGTCTTCGAATGAAGATCATGGCAGAGACTTATTCAGCTCTTCCATGTCATTGTTGGCTTCAATGGTTTCTCAGCTTCTTGATACTCAAGTGGAGATTCACGTCTTGTACCCCACATAAAGTGGTTTCTCTTAGAAACATCTAAATCAGGAAAATCGAACTTGTGACGGTTTGTCAATCCACTGAATTTGGAGGGAACAAGGTTATGATTGGTGCTATGGGAATGAATCATCCATAAGCATCAAAGTTAGAACATTCGAGTTATAAGACATGATTTTCATGAAAAACGTCTGGCTATCATGGGTGTATTGTTTTATGAAAACTTAAGGTTTCAAAGGCACTAAATTTGAAACTACAGGTTCAACTTAGTTTATGAACGTTGAGTTCATAAAAGGGAGGTTCCTGCAAGAACACAGAATGCAATATACAACTAAGTGTAGTGGATTTTAGTTGCTTAAAGAACTCAAGTGTGAGTGCTGCGGGACTACGAAAGTGAGTCAACGGTTCAAAGTATAAAAATAAATCGTTAATGTCCAAAAGTGATATTCAGGTCAATAATTTTGGATTCATTATCAAATTAATGGACTGCATGTCACTTTTAATTAATTCAATAGATCGGAACCATTCGGGGTCGATTGTAGAAGCAAAATAATGACATTCGAGTCATATTCACTTTAGATGGCTTCGAGCCAAATAATTAAGAAAATATAGCCTAGTGTGGCTTTAACCAAAAACATCGAAAAATATTTGGGTATGGTTAAGAAGCGAGGGATGCCAAAATATAGCATTGGGTCGAAAAAGGTACGCAGCCCAGCATGTAATTGTTGGCTGCAATGGGTCACGACCCTGCAATAAGATGCAGGCATTTGGGCTCCCTTATACGGCTGCACAACAGCCCAACGTTGACTGCAAGTCAACGGGCTAGGAAAGCAATGCCCAGCATCGTTGGGCTTGCTGGTTTTTGGGTAGTCGGGCGAAAGAAGGCCCAACTTTCGCTGGCTTCTGGGTTAACGCAATGCAAGCTCAGCATAGCTTCCTGGCTGGCGAGCTGAAGGCATGGGCTGGAATGAGGAAGGGGCCCAGCATGGCTTGTATGCTGCAGGACCAACTAGTTTAAACCCAAGCCAAGGGCCTGGTCCATGCATGTAGGCAGCCCTTACAATTCTAGTGCCCAAGCCCGAGCTGCAAGCTCTATTTGGCGTTAGGTCGGCGCGGCTTAATTTTTTTTTCAAATTTTTTTTTTCTTTTTCGACATAGTTAGGGTTTGACAAACCCTAAATTGCTTCTAATTTATTTCTATTCTTTGACTCACATATTCCGCATAGCATAATTGTGTATTGTATGAACAAATATATATATTGACAAATATATGAAACATACAATATATATATATATATATATATATATATATCGGAAGAAAAATATAAACATAGGGGGATTCATGCATCATGGGGAATGTTTTCGTACTTCACGGTCATTTCAAATATCTTACTTTATTTTAAGCGTACCTGATTGACAGAAAATAACAAATGTCTTTGAATTTGTAGAAGATCATTCTTGGAAAGCCGGAATTGCATCTTCAATGCATGGTATCACGTTCAACAAAGAAAAATTAAATTGAATCAATAGTATGTATATCAATTCAATAAAATAGTAAATTAATCTTAAAAAGAATAATTAAAATGTAATACTCCCCTGATTGAAGAATAAACTCTCTTTAGCGTAGCGTTAAGAGCGTGCTGATAACGTGTTGTAAGCATAATTTACTGAACAAATATGGAGGCCATAGAGAGAGAGGTGAGGCAATGGAGAAGAAGAAGATAGATGTGTAATTGTGGGTATGTTCTATTCCACCTCATTGTGCCTTTATTTATAGTAGTAGGAAGGTTAATTATTTTCCCTTTAGGATAACAACATTTAATTGGTAATCAACTCCTAATAGGAATATAATAGATATTCCAAGATATACTAGAATTTACACAATCACATTCATATTATAATATGACTGCAACATGTTCTATATATATATATATAAATCATTATTAGTAGAGTGGCTGGGGGATATTCGTTTCGTTTACTCTTCAGGGCGCCAAACTTTAAAGCGGGAGAAAATAATTCCAGTTCCCACGTTTTGGTCCCGGTGGTTCCCGGATTCATGATCTTTGCTTGTTACAGCAATCTATTGAAATTAAAGGTAAGAACTTTTTTTTGTTCTTCTTGTTTTAAGACGACTAAAGGTAAGGCCTTTTGAATCCCTCTCTCGTTAATTCTTTTGAGAACTTGCTTGGCTGATGAATAATTAGCAGGAACTCCTGCTTATTTTGATTTCATCGTTTAAATTCGTTGCTTCAGTTAACCGCTGCTTAGTTAACCGCTGCTTATTTGTATACCTATTTGTTTAAAGGCTGTATAAATTGATAAATACCTTTAAAAATCAAACAAATCCCATGAACCTAGTGTTTTATTTAGGGGTGTGCTATCCACACACCCCTTTATACTTCTCTCATACCCCTTGTTAATTTATATCATTTACTCTTCTTCAATTCATCCGATTCGACGGCTAAAAATTAAAAAAAGTGTGAGAAAAGTAAAAAGAGGTGTGTGAATATCACATTCCTTTATTTAAAGCCATGGGGCGTGCACCCTCTCTTTAGTCTTTACTGCTCATAGATTGGACCGGTCGTGTATCTCAAACCGACGTTTGGTTTGTAGATTAGAGTCATATGAATCAATGCGAGATATCATTATGAAAGTTGGTTCTACCATAAAATCAATTGGCACAACATGAGTGGTCTAACTTTTTATAAGCCCTTGAAAGTTTCTCTTTTCACCGATATGTGACTCTTTTACCTTCACTCCTCATACGCCCCATTATGTGCGGCAAAATTTTCAAGCCAAATACATGGGCAACATGAATTGGGTAAGGTGTGGCCGTTAGACTTCACACATGGGCCAACCTGCTCTGATAGTATGAAAAAAGTTGATGTTCTACCACAAAACCTATTGGCAATATTGAGAGTAGTCAAGCCCTTGCAAAGTTTATCTTTTTACCAATGTGTCTCTTACCTTCACTACTCCCACATTCCCATGTGATACCAAAATTACCAATATAATGCATTTAATGGAAGAGTATTTCTGGAAAACTTACATATTTTGGTTCACATGACAATGTAAACCAAACATGGGAATGGAAGAAAACGGTATTTCATGGCCCTATTTCCCAGCATTTCCAAACACAGGACAGGAAGCTTCATTCCCACCAAGAGTTGTTCTTTCTTCCATTTACTCCCTCTTTTCATGCTATTGTCATTTGATGATAAGCTATTTATTTTATTTGTTTACAATTTCATTGCCGCTTTTATTTGTGAAACCTTACTTCACAACTTGAAGACATAGCCGGGGATTGTACTTACCCAGCCATTCTTCATTCAACAAGCTTTGCAATAATTTGTCTCTTTGTTTTGTGTTCTCCCAGTTCCTGAGTTGAGAATGAGTGGAAAAGAAGGCCACGCAATTGGAATCGATCTGGGGACAACGTATTCATGTGTAGCAGTGTGGCGATATGATCATATTGAAATCATAGTGAATGGTCAGGGCAACAGAACAACTCCGTCTTATGTTGCTTTCACTGATACTGAAAGGTTAATCGGTGATGCAGCATATAACCAGGTCATTAGAAACCCCTCAAATTCAATCTTTGGTAAGGCTAATCTTCTCACATCTACATTCCAAGTGTTTGCACTCTTACAAACTATTTTGTGTTTTTTTTTTTTTTTTAATCATCATTTTTTTCATTAGCTAAGTATTGACTTTTCTTAACCTGAGCTTTGTGATCCTGCTAATGGGTGCTTAATGCTATGGTTGGGTGAGGGAATTTTCAAGTCTCGAGGGTCTGAGGATAAGTTAGCAAGGAATGGATCTCAAACTGATAGACAAGAGGGATTAAAAAAGCACCATATGGGCATTAGAAAGCAATGTGAGAGAGATTTGTCAACCCTTGCTTGCAAGGTGTTTATAAATCCCTCTTGCAAACCTCTGTAATGCTTACGCGATGCATTTCTAATCCTTCCTAATGTTTAGTGATCGATCCATTACTAATTTGACATCAATATTGTGGGCTTTGGAAGTCCCTCACCCCAATATATCCTATGGGTATTTCTTGGGTAGTTACAGACTTACAGTACCCAAATTAACTAGTTTTTGCATTTTAATGAGGTTAGTTATCTAAGACATAATTAAATGATTTAGGTACTGAATGACATTATATAACTTTGATAACAGCATCTTTTTAGTTACAATCCAGTCAGGCTGAATGAGAAACTTGGAAAAAGTGAAACATTTTTCATGTTATTACTTGACATTTACAAATAAATAGAGATTAGCTAACTGAAATTTTTGTTTATATTACTCCATTGTTTGCAATCTTTCCACTTTATTTGATTGAGTTTCTAAGCTTGGCATTCATTTTACAGATGCAAAGCGATTAATTGGAAGGAGATTTGCTGACGCTTCTGTTCAAAATGATTTGAAGCTCTGGCCATTCAAGGTCACTGAAGGTCCTGATCACAAGCCCATGGTTGTGGTTACCCACAAGGGTCAAGATAAACAGTTTGCTGCTGAAGAAATCTCATCTATGGTTCTCACAAAGATGCGGGAGATTGCTGAGGCCTACCTCGGCTCAAGTGTGAAGAAAGCAGTTATTACTGTCCCTGCTTACTTTACCGACTCACAACGTCAGGCTACAAAATGTGCTGGTGTCACTGCTGGCTTAGAGGTGATGCGTATCATCAACGAACCAACTGCAGCGGCCATTGCTTATGGAATTGACAATAAGGCTGGTTGGTATAGCAAGAGAAATGTTATGATATTTGACTTGGGTGGTGGTACTTTAGATGTGTCACTGCTTACCATAAGTTCTGGTGACTTTGAAGTAAAGGCGACGGCTGGAAATACTCACCTTGGTGGTGAAGATTTTGATAACAATATGGTGAATCACTGTGTTGAGAAGTTTAAGAAGAAGCATGGTTTGGACGTCAGTGGAAACCCTAGAGCTCTTAGGAGGTTAAAAAATGAATGTGAGAAGGCGAAGAGGAGACTTTCGTTTACGTCTGCGACAGATATTGAAATTGACTGTTTGTATCAGGGTGTGGATTTTTATACAACTTTTACCCGTGCAAAATTTGAACAATTAAATATGGATTTCTTCAACAAGTGCATGGAGCCTGTGGAGAAATGTTTGGAGGATGCCAAAATGGACACAAGCGATGTCGATGATGTTGTTCTTGTTGGTGGCTCCTCTAGAATTCCCAAGGTGCAGGAGCTATTACACAACGTGTTCATCGGCAAGGAGCTGTCCAACGGCATTAATCCGGATGAGGCTGTGGCATATGGTGCTGCTGTTCAAGCTGCTGTCTTGAATGGTAATCAAAGTTTGAAGCTTCAAGACTTCACTCTCTTGGATGTTATTCCTATGTCACTTGGGACAGAATATCGTGAAGGACAGCTCAATGAGCTCATGTATGTAATGATCCCAAGAAACACCAAAATTCCCACCAAGAAGAACCATACTTTTGTAACTGGTCACGACAACCAAAGTTGTGTTTACTGTGGAGTTTACGAGGGTGAGAATGAGCTAACCAAAGATAATAATTATTTGGGTGGATTTTCCATCGGTGGCATTCCTCCAGCTCCTAAGGGTGTTGCTAAAGTAAATGTTTGCTTTTCTATTGATGCAAATGGAATCCTGAATGTTTCTGCTGAGGTCATGTCCACCGGCCAGAAGAAGGAGATTACAATCAAAAGATGAACTTTGGGAATTTACAGGATGAAGTAAGTAATGACATATGATTGTAGCATACCGAAGTTGAAAATACATACTTCGGTTGTGAAATCAATTTGCTAGTGGTTTACTTGTAGTTTTTCGTCATTTGGTTTAGTCATTCCATGTTTGTTAAGAATCTGCTGGTGTGTTGTGGTCGATGGTCACCCATTTTGCTTCTTGTTGGTGCATTGTTTTGACATGTTGGTTTTCTTTGCTAGACTCTTGGTTTTTATCCTTGTTTTGGTAGCAGACTTGCCTGCTGGATTAGTATAATTAATTATGCAAGAAATCATGTTTTTGGAGTTCTATTAATTCACTAGACCACAATACGCTAGACATATACAAAAATGCCTGACATAGATGCACACGTTATCGTATTCCGATTGCTAAATCTTCTCTATCAAGTGCTTAAAATGTTATAATATTCGTACTCTTGCTCATCTTTAGTTGATTGGAAGAGTACGAATATTATAGCATTTTAAGCACTTGATGAAGAAATCCGTCCCTTTTGTTTTTTGAGAAGATGAAGGATGGATATCTCCACATGGTTTCTTTCCGTCCCTTTTGCTTTTCGTGAAAGACAACCGTGGCAGTACTGGAGATTACCTTGCTTCTGCTAATGGTCTTTCCCACATTGGATTGCTGTGGTGAATGAAGTATCCATTTTCTTCAAATTCTGAGCGTGCTCGAGTATATACTTCGCCAACTCTATTTCATTTTCCCCCTTGGAAAGCTTGGAAAGCTCTGCAGTTGCCTCCTTGAGTTGATGAAAAAAAGCAAGTTTCTGGGATTTCCAGTATCCCATATCAATTGCGGAGGCCTAGAAAGGAAACAATGAAATCAATTGAATTCTTTATTTTTTTAAAAAAAAAATTTATCAGATACAATGAGGTGAAGTTAGAAACAGTTTATTCAACCGTTCTCCTGATTGATGCAAGAAATTTCGAAAATCGTAAAATGTGCTTCATGAGTGTGTGCAAGAGAGAGTGATAGAGAGAGTGATAGAGACAGTAATATCATTTTCTTCCGCTTCGGAACCGTTTAAGGAAGATCTACCAGTCTGTCTTTTGGTACTTGGTGGATCAGATGTTATGCACAAAGTATTCAAAATAGTCTTTCATCTCTGAAGAGGTTACATTGACGAGACTAGGTCCTCGTTCAAGCTCGTAACTTGTGTACCCGATCTAATGAGAAATTTATATATACTAAAACCCAAACCGATGGTTACTGTTCTAGGGCAGTGTGCAGACTAAAATGCCCCTCAAGTTAGTCTTCAGCAGTTACTTTTTATCTTTGTTGTACAGTAAAATCCCGAATTTGCCCTTTATATTCATCCGTTCCTCCATCTGTGGAGTCTTTCTTTTAGTCCTTTTTTAATTCTTTAAACCTAACTGGTGGGCAGACAAAAAATATTAAACAAATGTGATTAAAATCGGGCCATGTGGTTTGTGGCACAACAAACAATAAAAATGTATACCTTCCTAATTTTTTAAACCCATGTACAGCTGATGGGAAGAGCAAAAAAATATGATTAAGACCGGGCCACATGGTTTGTGGCACAAGAAACAATAAAAATTTATACCTTCTTAATTTTTGAATCCCATGTATAGCCGGCGGGAAGATCAAAAAAACATTAAAAAATGTGATACACAGTGAATTTAACAGAAGGAGGCTGGAAAAGTTGGGGGAACCGGGGCCTCTCTTACCACGTGTTGGTCATCGTGAGGTTTGCTTTTCTCGCTCTATACACAGCCTGCTTTTTGTTTCGTTGTTCCGTTTCCCATACTCATTTCTGCTCTTCTATTGTTCCGTTTCCAACCTCTTCGTAGCTTTTTCTTTCCGTTCGCTTCTCTCTCTCCATTCTCACCTTCTGCTTTTTTTCTCTTCCACGCCAGTGTTGTTCCATTGAGTTTTGCGTTTTTTCCAGTGTATCTGATTTAATTTTTTTCGGTGGTTTTCGATTTGCAGATGGATTTTTTTCTTTAAATTTTATTTTTTTTCATTTTGGGGGTTTGATATGTGCGCTTATTTGGTTTCAGGAAACGCTCATGTCCCAATTTTGGGGCTTTCATGTGCGATTTCGCAAGCTCTTTGTGTTCAAGGTGTGATATAAAATCTACTCTTTCTTTTGGGCTTTTTGTCGAACAAAATTTAAATTTTTTTTGGGTGGTCTTCGATTTGGCTCTATGATTTGCTTTTCTTTTCATTTCAGGAAACGTTTGTCTTTGTTTTTTGGAAATTTTGTATATGCGTTTGCAAACCATTTGTGCATCAGCTATATAATTTCAATTTTTTTTTCATGGTTTATGTGTGGTTCTCTGATGTGGTTTGATTTTTTATTTCAGAAAAAGTTAAGGATACGATCAAACGTTTACTGGTGAGTTTTCCATTTTTCTGATTGTGTGTGATTTAATTTTTTTTCAAGCTTTGGGTGTACTTTTCTGATCTGCTTTGATTTTTAGTTGCAGCAAAAGTTGTTGGTCGAATTTCCAGTTTTTCATTACGGCTTTGCAAGCTCTTTATCATCAAGGTATAGAATTTTTAAAGAGAGTATAATTTTAAAGAGAGTATATGTATGGATTTAGGTACCAAGGCAAAAAATTGGTTGCTAACAGTGCGATAGGGTAGAGGTTTGCTTAGAGACTGAAATTTAAAAGATAGAGATCGCTTTGTTTAAATATTTTTGAAAACAAGAGTGTTGTAAAATGATAAAAGAAAGAGATTTTCTTAACTGGTCAAATTGTTATCATGACTAGCTTTTGCTTCTTTTGTGTTAATAAATGTTAGATGCATTTAGGTTTTTGCGTTCTGAATTTGAATTTTCTGTTTAATTTGGATTTTCGTGTTTTGTATTTTGAATTCGAATCCTAATTTGAAAATGAATTAGGATAAATGATTGCTACCTAAACTGATGACCATGATAGAGCAAAAAATATACTGAGTCTTTTTTTTTTAATCTTTTTATGAGAATTCTTACAAAAAAATCTAAAAAAATGTGATAAAGCAACTGATTCTAAGGCAAAAAAATCTAAAAAAATGAGATTTAAACCCGGTGTGGCACGATAAGTCTTTCTTTTAGTCCAGAAAAAGATAAAATAATGATAAAAAAATTGGTGGCAGGACAAATGAATATTAAAAAAATATGATAAAACAACTTATGGCAGGAAAAATTGATGGCAGGACAAAAAAATGTTAAAAAATGTGATAAAGCAACTGATGGTAAGGCAATAAAAATCTTGAAAAATGTGAGTTAAACCCGGCGTGACAAGACAAGTCTTTCGTAAGGCAAAAGAAAAAATTAAAAAATACAAGCTAAACTTAATGTGGCAAGATTCTTTTAGTTCAGAAAAAGATAAAATAATAATAAAAAAATGGGTGGCAGGACAAAAAAAATATTAAAAAATGTGATAAAGCAACGTATGTTTGTAAGCTCTTTTCTTTTGTTTCTCTTTTCTTTTCTGCACGTTTGCTGTCTTATTTCCTTTTCTCCTCTTTTCCTTTCATTTTTAGCTTCTCTTTTTTTTTTTTTTTTTCTGATGATCAATATTGTTTTTTCTGCAGTTACTGCTTCAACCAAAAAACTTTTGCTCATGTGTTAGAGGATGTTGGCATGTGTTATCCAAAAAAAAGAAGTATTGATTTCACATTTTTTTGTGTGTGTAAATAGTTGATCCTAACATGAATTCTCCATTCTTTTTTATGTATATAAACAATGGGCTCTTTAGGATCACTGTCAAGGGGGAATACTAGATTAACCATTTTTGTGTACTGATGATAAGGCATTTGATAATGTATTTTCTGTAAATTATATCAACTTACACAGCTTCGGAAAAATATTTGTTTCATTTCATGTTTAGTATTTATAACTCTTTGCATATTTATATGTTAAAAACATAATCTATAGTTATATTTTCGCTCCCGCAACAACGTGCGGGCAAAATTTACTTGTTTATATATACTAAAACCCAAACCGATGGTTACTATTCTAAGGCAGTGTGCGGACTAAAATGCCCCTCAAGTTAGTCTTCAGCAGTTACTTTTTGTCTTTTTTGTACAGTAAAATCCCGAATTTGCCCTTTCTTATCACCTGTTCCTCCATCTGTGGTGTCTTTCTTTTAGTCTTTTTTTAATTCTTTAAACCTAGCTGGTGGGCAGAAAAAAATATTAAAAAAATGTGATTAAAATCGGGCCACATGGTTTGTGGCACAACAAACAATAAAAATGTATACCTTCCTAATTTTTAAAACTCATGTACAGCTTATGGGAAGAGCAAAAAAATATTTAAAAAATGTGATTAAGACCGTGCCACATGGTTTGTGGCACAAGAAACAATAAAAATTTATACCTTCTTAATTTTTGAACCCCATGTATAGCCGGTGGCAAGACCAAAAAAATATTAAAAAATGTAATATACAGTGAATTTAACAGAAGGAGGCTGGAAAAGTTGGGGGAACCGGGGCCTCTCTTACCACGTGTTGGTCATCGTGAGGTTTGCTTTTCTCGCTCTATACACAGCCTGCTTTTTGTTCCATTGTTCCGTTTCCTATACCCATTTCTACTCTTCTATTGTTCCGTTTCCAACCTCTTCTTAGCTTTTTCTTTCCGTTCGCTTCTCTCTCTCCATTCTCACCTTTTGCTTTTTTTCTCTTCCACGCCAGTGTTGTTCCATTGAGTTTTGCGTTTTTTCCAATGTGTCTGATTTAATTTTTTTCGGTGGTTTTCGATTTGCAGATGGATTTTTTCTTTAAATTTTCTTTTTTTTCATTTTGGGGGTTTGATATGTGCGCTTATTTGGTTTCAGGAAACCCTCATGTCCCAATTTTGGGGCTTTCATGTGCGACTTCGTAAGCTTTTTGTGTTCAAGATGTGTATATAAAATCTACTTTTTCTTTTGGGCTTTTTGTCGAACAAAATTTAAATTTTTTTGGGGTGGTCTTCGGTTTGTCTCTATGATTTGCTTTTCTTTTCATTTCAGGAAACGTTTGTCTTTGTTTTTAGGAAATTTTGTATGTGCGTTTGCAAACCATTTGTGCATCAGCTATATAATTTCAATTTTTTTTTCGTGGTTTATGTGTGGTTCTCTGATGTGTTTTGATTTTTTATTTCAGAAAAAGTTAAGGATACGATCAAACGTTTACTGGTGAGTTTTCCATTTTTCTGATTGTGTGTGATTTAATTTTTTTTCAAGCTTTGGGTG